CAATAACTAGGCTTATATACACATATATATATATTTGAGAATTTAGTTAACTTCTGTCTTTTCACTGCTTTGATTCTTGTATATCTGAAATGCCGCCAATATCCTTATTGTATTGAGAAACCCACAATCACCAGTTTTCCAAAAAAAAAGCTCTCTGTTGGGAGCCATTCTTTATCCTGCATCCAGGGTTGTTGCCAGTCTCTGTGTTGTCTTTATCCATTGTGCTTAATTTTTTTGTGTGTTATGCAAAGCGAGTAAGGTCTTTTAAATTTAATTATTTCTAGTGCTTGGAATTAGATTTTTGTAATGATACATTAAAAAAGATGTAAGTTTAGAAATCCTTATCTCTGTTAGCATCGGTCTTTATCTAAAGGCCAGTAGCATTTATCTATTTCCAGTTTACTTTAACCACTGATCCTAATCTAGTGGCAGCAGTCGACTTAATTAGCACGTTCTCTACTTTGTCTTCCAGATTTTTTATAAAGATATTAAACAAAATGGGACCCAATATCGATCCTTGTGGGACCCAACTGGAAACCTCTCCCCAACTAGACGGACTACCAATTACGATTTCTCTCTGTATACGGTTAGATAGCCAGTTTTTAATCCATTTATTTGTTATTTCTGTTGGAGCCAATTTGTTTAGCTGTTCCCTTTAAAATAATGTATGGTTTGTTTTGCAGATAACCTGTAGACTTGTGTCCACAGAGCCGTGGGGATAAGTTAAATGTTTTCATGAGACCCTAACGGGGTTTTTTTCTGTTGGTTTTTTTTTTTTTTTTTTTTAATGTGGATGTGATGAGCACAAGCTTCAGTGTTCCCCTCGGTCATTGTGCCAGAGAAAGAAACCAAGTGGATCATATTTTGAGACTCCTTTTCATTTGTATTGAGAGGATAGAGTGTCATTAAATACTCTGGTATTTCTTAGTTTTATTGTTGTGTTTCTTTTGGTGAGTCGAATACGTGGAGACATATATAGTCCTCCTGTAAGCTGGTTCAGAATTCAGAAACCTGTATTTTCTGTCCAAGGTTATTAATTCGTGTCTGAGAATGTTACGTTTGCATCAAGTCCTTGTTCCTTTATTGTGGTTTATATTTTACAAATAAGTATTATCTTGGCTGGCCCAGTGCTATTATAACGATAGGTAAGAGGCAATAATTGAGATTGGTTCTTGTCAACACTCTTGACTTAAATGAACGCCAAAGAAAGCCCACTGGGGGCGAAAACGTAACAGTGTAGTTTCTGAATCTTCATGTGTTTGCATTTTGTAATTGGCAAATTGTCATTCTTAGTGCCCTCCAAAGTGGAGAATGAGGACGGTGGTGATGAAGATGATGGTTGTCTCCATTCCACGTTATCATCCGCGACTTGTCTCTCGTTTATCTGTAGTTCTCTTTCTTGGTGAAGCAGTGAATGAATGATGCTGAATGCTTGCGAATCTTTCCTATGAGGACTTGATGTCAGATGAGCTGCAGTTATTGTATCTTTAAGTATCAGATTCTTCAATTCCTCATTGTTAATGCCTTTGGGCTGAGAGATAGGTGTGGTTAACCTATTAAACTGCTAGCTTGTTTTGGTATTTTAGTTGCTTTTTTAACTTTGTTACTTGTGTTATACATAGCCACAGAGTCCGATAAATGGTATTAGGTAGATTCCAGGAGAAGAGATGTTTGAAACTCTGTTACTCACTGTTGTAGTCTTGATCCCCTGAAACACCCAGCCCCTACTAAGTCTGTCTTCTCAGCCTGTCTCATTTGTGGGGTTGCTGCTTTTCTTGTTTTCAACTGAAATCTCTGTTGTTGAAATTGAAGTGGATGATCTGATTGGGCAGCGTTCTGGGTGGAAGAAGATATGTCTGACAGTTGGAGTTAGGGTTCATGATGAAAACGGTTGAACAATGTTGTGTTTTTCAAAACCAGAATGAAAGTATACTGCATGATTGGTCTATGACTGGGTAAAAGTTACATGAAAATTCAGGAAAATCCTCAGATGTTACTTGAAAGAAAATTTGCCTCTTTGGTGCTGTTTTCAGCTGCTGGCTTGAAAGAGTTCATGACACTTCCTGATGCCATGATTTGGACTCTAATTTGTCAAGAACTCTTTCTCTCTATTTCATAAAACATTATGCTAAAAAAAAAGAATGATTTACATTGAAATATGAATCTTAATGTCTTCTGCCTTTATACTGTTCTTTGTTGGATATGTCTTTATTCTGTCTTTTGAATTCTCCTTTAAGTTCATAAGCAGAGTATGAATTAAGGACTAGTATTCAAAAGTTTGAATGATGAGCTGTTAAATCTGTAACCTGTAAAAGCATCAAAATTATGTTGACAACCCTCAGAGGCAGTAGAGTGCACTGGGAAGATGGTGGCTGTTAGAGTCAGACTGAACTGGGTTCACGTTCAAGCGTGGTTATTTATTAGCTGTGTAACATTACAAGTGTTTAACCTTCATGTTCCTCAGATGAAAACTGAAACACTGATTTTTGCCTCATGGAGGTGCTGAGAGGATTAAATGAGAGAATTTGTTAAGGACATTACCCAGGACTAGACAAAGAGCACTCAATACATAGTTGCTATTATTCTGGAGAAGGGAGCAGTGTGTATCTTTCTCAGGTTTTCTTGTTTTAGCTCTATTACTATTTTTCTGATTATAAAGCTAATTTGTAATTGTTCTTTAAAGAAAATGTGCAAAAGGCAGTGAAAACCACCTGCACTCTACACCCAGATATAGTCATTCTTCACACTGCCCTTTATTTACACTTAGTGACATATTTTTATATAAATAACTATGCTCTGCTATTGTATATACTGCTATTTTCGACGTAACTTTTTTGATCTTTAAGTATCAGTCTGCATCATTTCTAACAACTACAAAACATTGTGTTGAATGTGTGTACTATAATTTATATAATGAGCACCTCTTTTTAGATATTTGCAGGGTATCTAGGTGGGTTTCAATTATAAACAAGTCTGAAATAAGCATCCCATGCTGACATGTTTGCACACCATTGATTCCTAATATATTTCTTAAAGTAAAATTTGCAAGTCCAAAAGCATGCGCCTTTAAATTGGTGATACATGTTGCCAGATTGTTCCCTGGAAAAGTTCTACTGTAGTTTCCATATCTATGAGAGTGTAGCTGTGTACACACACACATACACACACACACACCCTACACACACACACACACACACACATCACCCACCCCTAAAATAATGAAGAAACAGAAAACTGATGTCTAACTGTTTTCCATTGTGAAAAGTTTTACAGAAATAGAGACAGAAGAATCCAAAAACCCATGTGCAGTTTTTCTCTTCTCTGTCCAAAGCCACAGAGAATAAAATGACAAGAGAAAGACAAAAGACAAACAGTCAACACTCAACTTACACTGAAGCTGTGCAGAGGGTCAGAAAGGCATGAGGAGGTTCAATGTTGGTGCATGCAAAATCCAGGAGAATCTACCCAAGCTACATTTGAGCAAGTAGAAGAACCCTATAGAAAGGTCTACATCAAAATGAAGCATCTAAACAAACAGTGTGGCAGCTGTACACAGAAACTACCAAATGACATTCTATCTCTGTCTCTCTCATTTGGTAGGAAAAGAGAGAGGAACTCAGCATGCAAAAGACAGATAATGACCCTTCACTGCAAAAAAAAAAAAGTCAGGATGTATTAAAATTTTTCATAACAAGTTTTTTTCCTGCTAGAAAATTGACAGAGATATGAAACAAAAGATCAAGGTAAGCAAGAGACTATAAAAAGGTAAATATGATGGGGAAGAAATTTTCATAGACACTAATAACTGAATCTAAAATAGTAAGGAAGAAAACCAGTGTGGCAAAAAATTAAAAGAGTAACACAAAGTTCAGGCTGTTGAAAATCTCACTGAAGGCAAATAAAGAGATGTCGAGATGAAAGCCACTTAGAGAAAATATAATACAGGACAAGTACAGCAGATTAAAAATGCAAAACCTTGATGTTAGTGAAGTATAGAATGGAAAAAAATGGAGTAGAAAAAATATTTAAATCTGATATCAGTAATTCTAATAATGATAATAATCAATACTTCTTGAATGTCTTGTATGTGGTTAGACACTCTATACACATGATTTCATGATCTATTCCTTATTATGACCGTATGTTGTAATCATTGTAATTTTACAGATGATGAATGGAGACTCAGAGAGTATAATTAATTTTCTTAAGATTCGACAGCTGAGAAAATATGACTGGAAGATGCTGTCTTAACTACTCCTCTGTACATTATGTATACACATCTGTAATGAAAGTAATAAGTAGGCCAGAAGATATACTGGGTTCCAAGATAAAAAGTATGCAATACCATTGCCACCTTATTATTATTCTTCTCAAATGACTAAACTTCCAGCCAGAAAAAGTGAATGAATGACAAGGAAGGAAAAAAAAGATATATTTCAAACATTTTTATAAGTCAATGGAAAAGTCAAATGGAAAGTCAATGTTACAGGGTTCTGAGGGGGGAAAATATAACCTAGGAATATTATTGATATATACAGGCAAAAGAAAGATAATCTATCCTCAGTATGTGGAATCTAAGGAAACATAGCGTCCATAAGTCCTTATTCAAAAAATATATATATTATAGCTTGGTGAAAAAATAAAATCCAGCTCCCAACAAAAGGTAGTCAAAGTAAGGGATGTTAAAATAGGAAAAGCCAGTATGGCAGCATTTAGAACTAGAGGTAGCTTGTAGAACTAAAATTATCCAACCCTAGAAATTAAAGTTACAGAATAAAAGATAATTGAAACATTTTCAAAAACTAGATATTGAAGATAAGTAAAAAGAATAAATCAGAATAGGTATGGCTGATGTGGGAGAAAGTATTTGTTTCCTAATTCATAGCAGTGACTCAGTATTTACCTTTTATTTTGAGAGTTTATGAATCAAGAATTTGAAGATCAAGGATGTGTTTAAAATTAACATAGATAACTTCTATGACTGTGTTTTTCAAAGGGTCTACCATAGACTGCCTACCTTACGGTCACCTGGGATGCTTGGTTAGAAAGTAGATTCTACCTGAGATATAAATCAAAATCTTTAGTGGGAAAGCTGAGGAACTGACATTTTTATTTCACAGATCTTTATGGTTTTACACTAAAGCATGAAAGTCTGAGGACCATTATGATAGAAGAATCAAAAACTGACACTTCATCTTATAAAAACTTTAGGTAATAAGATAGAAATAGAGAGAGATGAGAGCAGCATTATTTACAATAGCTAAGATATGAAAGCAACCTCAACACCCATCAGTAGACAAATGGGTAAAGAAGATGTGGTATAATGTATACAATGGAATATTACTCAGCCATAAAAATGAAATACTGCCATTAGCGACAACATGGATGGACCTAGAGGGCATTATACGAAGTGAAATAAGTCAGAGAAACACAAGTACCACATGATCTCACTTGTGGAATCTAAAAACAAAACAAACAAAGAAAACAGTATGAAAATAGACCCATAGATGCAGAGAACAAATTGGTGGTTGCCAGAAGAAGAGGGGTGGGGGAGTAGGCAACACAGGTGAAGGTGAAGTGGATTAA